TCCCAGAAGATATGTTTTCACTTTCAGTTGAACATCCTACAAAACACAAACAAGTTTTTTGTATACTTAATACACTGAGGACAAAATAAGTGAAGCTAGTCCATTAGCACTTTCTGGTCTGTTAGCACTTCTAAGAAAGTATAAATGTACAGTAGACATTAATTTTCTGTAACATGAATGATTTCTCACTGACTTTCTAAAACGATATTATAATCATTTTCTTTAACACTCTAAAACACAAGGTCAATCCTAGATGCTTTATTGTCACTGCAAAAGCAGAGCTTTATATTACAATTTAGCCATGTAAAAGGTTTATAGTTTTTTTTCCACCATACTTTAGGGGTGTCACTGCACATCAAACTGATCCAACAGTCAGACCAGAAACATTTTGAAACCAGGCAGGGTCACACAACGGCAGGTTCTGCAGTTCTGGTGGTTATACCAGAAACATAAAGCAGGGTGACTGTGCCAACAGAGAAAAGGACAAGAAGAAAATAGATTGTGTGGCAGTACACAGTTTGGGAGATGTGGAATCAGGCTGAAAGTTGTGTTACTATGGTTTGGTGTCTTGACTGAGTTTGTAGGCACAGCAACTTAGTAACTGAGTAACAGAAATTATATTTCCATAGTTTTGATATATTTAGCTCAAAACAAACCACTTTTAAAAAAAGATACCTGGAGCAATTTGTTTAAAAAGGTCAGTATAAATACAACTGTAATAAAAACTGGGTGAGGGTAGATAAATATTATGGGGGAGAAAAATAAAAAGAAAATCAAAAAACATACCTGCCATATTCGTGAAAGACCATGTTCCAATTTCTTTTTCACATAGCTGCGGTCAAAACTGTTCTCTTCAGTTCCAATCACATTGCTGCCATCTGAAACTAAAGGAGAAAGGTACTGTAGATACTTCCAAAAGCCTTGAAATATATCCTAGTTTTCTACCCATAATGAATCTTCTGCCTTAGCCATTATGATATTTTCCATTATGCAAACTCCAGGAGAGCTCCATGGCTCTAAACTTTTGAAAGGAAATGAATGAAACATATATAAATATTATACACCAATACAGACCAGGAGAGCTTCTGATTGCCATTATGTAAACAACATACCCCATTCAATAAAAATAAAAAAAAAGATATTTCAAATATAAAAGACAAAGTTGAATGCTCAGTGAGCTTACCCTCTACGACACGACTGTCTAAGATATTGCAGACTGTAGACAAGAAACATGAACTTAAAAATTTCAGAAGCAAGATTTTTAACTCTGCCTCAGTAAATTCTACCTGCAACTGTGAGGAAAAATTCTGAAATATTTTCCACGAGCTATGCAAGCAACATAGCATGCTCTTTGCTTCTTTTCCCAGCTCATACTAATCTGTGCTTATGCAGGAAACAATGTCAATTATATAACCAGGTGTCTTTCATTTCTTCCACATTTAATTCTAAAACCTTCCTTTCCATAGCACTGGATCAACTTCCAAAAAAAGCACTGTAATGTGTGGTAAACTTCTCCTGTATGTGGTCCTCTCTCTCTCCATGGAGAAAACATACTTTATTTCTCAGAATTTCAGTTCTGATAATTATAAAACTTTCATCGGCCATGATGTTTCCACAAATCCACTTTTTTTTTTAGATTCCACACAATACAAGAAGGACACTCGAAAGAAAATAATTTCATTAGCTTTTCAAATTTAAAGCAGGAAGACAATGTTAATTAGCATAAAATCTACTCTTTTTAGGAATTAACTTCTGTAATATATCTGACTTTTGAAAGAAATGTGGGACTTCAAATACACTGTAGGAATCACAGTGTTCCAAGACATGTCTTAACTTCCATTTCCATCTTTTTTCCCCTTTCTTGTTATCATCTAACATAAAGGATCTAAGTTTTATGCAAATCAGGCAAGGAGGAATTACTAGGAATAGCAGCAATTCGACAGTCCCTCGACAAGTAAGAAAACAGACAACCTACTTAATGCATTTAATTGGGAGTTTTGAATATATCTTAATACTGTGTCACACTCTGTCCTCTGCCAAACACAATCGTCTTGGATTAGCAGGAAAATAAAGTCTATCTTCAGACATTTTATATTAATTTAGAATATGACCAGCAAAATGTACTTAAGAGACTTTGTCAGGCAACAGACAAAGGTTTTGTGCTTCTGTCCTAAAAACAAACTGGAACTACAACAATAGAAAATCAAAATTACAGTTTAAGATCAGGCATTTGCCAGTTTCCTCTAAGGTTATCAAGGAATTTGTGACCATAGCTTATGACAGATTCACTACTAGAGATGCCATACAACATTCAGGAAATCGCATTTTCTGAAAATCACAACAAATTTACAACAGATTCATTCCCTGATGCTTCAGTTACCTAAGTAAATAATCCAGTATCCCAATACACCCAGCTAAACATGCAGTGAAAATTTTGAGACAGATCAAAAAATTTAATATAGGACCAGTACAAAATTTCAGTATGAAAGGGAAAAAATCCTCAGATTATGTAGTCATCTAGTACAGCTGACTTCCAATTCAGCAACAAGCACTGTTTAAAATAAAACTGTTTATAGCATAGTAATGGCACATACACATATTCATTAAAAATGAACCTTAAACTGAAGGCTACAGAAGTCCCCTAAGTAAGCAAGTCCTTGCTGCACACTGTACGTAATAACACTGAAGGCGCCGAGTCAAGACCACAAACGTATCAACACACAAATTAACAACTTGAGCACAAGAAACGTTATTTCCAAGTAGCAGAAGCTTTGTTTCCAGAACAGTTTCTTACCAGAAGACACAGCTGCTGCCTCATCTTGGTCATGATTCTCATGCCACTGCATCGTTCGGTAGTAACTGAGCATGACTTCCCAGAGGGCTTTGCAGAGATCAGCAAGGCATGGAATGTAGCTGTCTGATGTAATATGCTACAGAAAACCAAAATATTGTGAAACTTAACAACTGTGTTCTTTTTTTCCAGAGGCAAAACAAAACATGCGAAACATCCATATTCATACAGCTGAGGTGCTTGACATAGAATCACTATGGTTGGAAAGGACCTCTAGGAACATTAAGTCCACCTTTCATCCCAACATTTCCCTAACCACTAGACCATAGCCTCAAGTTCTACATTTACTCTTTTTGAACACCTCCAGGGATGACCACTTTCTTTTTCAAAAGTATTTGACACGTGATAAATGCCTGATTTTGGTCAACAAATCAAATGCTGTCTAAAAGTGCAAAGTTTATTTGTTAGTGTCTTTTTTTTTTTTCCCAATTGCCCCATATATTAACTACCTCTTATATTTATGGAACAGCAATATAGATACAGAAGTAAAGCCATACAGTCTAATGGTCAGCTCATCTCACTATCAAAGAGAGATGCAGCCTCCCCTGTGACATGCAGACACTGCATCAGTTCAATGACATAAGATACTTGTACTGCAGTAGAACATCAATGTCATCCTGGCTGGTGCCCCACCAGACTGAAAGCTGTATAAAGAAGTAGTTTAAAACCAGACTTAGATGGCTTTTGTCCTACCTTCCTGATCTGCTCTGCTCCAAAGAGCCAACTGTGATTTAAGATATTCATTAGGTGAAGAGTATCAATCTTATCACAGAGAAAGATACGCAGCAGAAATATGTAAGAGGAAATTGTCAGGTAAAGGGATGACTTTAAGAAGGTGTAATGGTTTGAAACCTGCTGCCCCTGGTGGGTGGAGATCTGAAACCCTAAACCAGGTACAAGCTTGAATGAAAGGGGCGTACACCTGTCCTATTCCCACTCCCCTTTTCCTGTCTTTGGGACTTCCTGCCGAGGTCTATGAAGGGGGTAAGAAAGGCACGCCTCTTCCTCTTGCTGTCTTGCTCCTTTGCCTTTCACCCCGGACACACGCTGCTGCTGCTGCTTGTGGTTTCCCTGTGCTACACGTGGCCGTGGCCATCTTGGAGACCTGGGCCTGATCTACAGACTGATTCCCTGCCTCCATCCACGTCCAAGGATTGTATATCCAGCTTCAATCCACCTCAATCCAGCGAGATCCAGCACTGGGGAGCCTCAGCACAACATTTGGGTTTTGTATATTTGGAAGTTTAAACTTCCTTGCCTTGTTGTTCCTATAACCCCCCTTACCCTGTTAAACCCCTACCCTTTTTCCTTTCTGTACCCTGTTTAAACCCCTAGCCCTCTTCCTTTCTGTTCCCTGTTAAATAATATATTTCATTTTGTTAATTTTCAATTTGGTGCAAGGTTTTCATTACCCCTGCCTTCCTTATTTACCTCTCTACCTGGGAAACTGAGGGTTAAGGGAGGTGGGACACAATTCTGCCTTCTAACCGGGACAGAATATAATTGGGTTCGCCAATTTTATTTGGCGATTGAGATGGATTGAAGCTGGATGCACAATCCTTGGACGTGGATGGAAGCAGGGAATCAGTCTGTAGATCAGGCCCAGGTCTCCAAGATGGCCACAGCCACGTGTAGCACAGGGAAACCACAAGCCCCTTCATAGACCTCGGCAGGAAGTCCCGAAGACAGGAAAAGGGGAGTGGGAATAGGACAGGTGTACGCCCCTTTCATTCAGGCTTGTACCTGGTTTAGGGTTTCAGATCTCCACCCACCAGGGGCAGCAGGTTTCAAAACATTACAGAAGGGGTCTTGCTGGGTAAAGGAAAGACTAAAATATATTGCTTATCTGAGTTCATACTTTCCCATTGCTACTTCAGTGTCCACGGTTGATTTCTGCAGGGCTAGTTAGCTTTTATCATGTAGCTGCTGCTATGGCATTACAGTTGCAACAAAATTCTTCAAAAATAGTAACAGCTTCTGCAACAGCCATGTGAACATTACACCAAAGTAATCAACCATGGATTCTATAGAGAGCAAACCCTTAATCAAAGCAATCAGTTCCCTCTGAAATGCATCCTCATCCACTGATGTAGCTGTGGCTTTCTGAACACTAAGTGTGGTTCCCAATCAATGAACTGCAACAAAACTTTGATAAGTTTGATTATTAAGTTTGTTGGAGAATAAACAGACTGGATAGATTTTTTCACAAATGCATCACTTATATCCCTCCTATTTTTAAGCTTTCAGGAAAAAAAATTAAATTATAAACAGCATGTCTTTATTTTGTAATTAATTGTGTTCTCTTTCTTCCTAAACTTAAATAATGCTCCTGGCAGCAGCACATACTGCCCAAGCCATATTCTCCTACACCCTGCTTCTGATCACAGACTCACAAAAACTGTGAGTCTTCAACATTAATAGATGTCACTAGCAAAACTATCTGGAGGCCTCATATTAACCACATTGTCTTTATGGTTTGCTTGGTTGGTTGGTTGTGATGTTTTCTGTTGTTTGTTTGTTTTTTTTGTTTTTGTTTTATTTGTTTGTTTAAATTAATTCTTATTCTGGTTCTACTCCCTGTCAAACCAGAACTGCCTCAAGCATATAAATTAGGCATCCTGGACAGATCAACAAGAAAAGTCAAATTCTTGGCACAGTTGAGATCGCTATTTTTTTACTGAAACTTTATATGTCAATGCACATTACTGACTGCGTTACTGAGACACTTTAATCTCAGATTCTATAGACCTTTGCTAATAATGGAACAAAATACAGTAACTAGTTTATCATTTAAACAATTAGTTGACCTGCCATTTCAACAGCTGTTGCACCAATTTTCTCCACCAACTCATCAGACTATGTTACTCTTTGTATTTCAGGGCTTTTAGTAGCTATATGATCTAAACTTTGGTTGTGCAGATCACTATACTTGAAAACATACTGGGTTCCAGGTGGCCAGAAAGAAGGGATTACTTACTAAATACCAAGATTATTTCCATAGTCTTAAATGGAATTAACAACTGAATTTCTTTGAATTTATGCTAGAATAAAAAAAAATCAAAACTTGAAGATGAAGCAGTTGAACTCTCCCCTGCTCCAGCAGTATTCAAAAGGAGAATGGGCACACAAGTTAATGCATGGCATATTGCTAGTGAAAGAAATGCTCAACAAGGTAATGGTGACTCAGAGAGCACTGGCACACAACTTACAAAAATGCTTAAAAATCACTGAAAATATTAATTTGAAAAAAAAAAAAAATGTTAATATAAAATCCAGTATCTGAATTCCAGAAAAGAAAAACAAAAATTAGAACAAAAGGGGAAAAAAACAAAAACCACTATAGTCCCCCACTGCCCACGTACAATGCAAATGAGCTAAATGAGTCCATTTAGGAAAATTTTTAGAAATACACAACAGGACATCTGCCCAAAAAAGATTTTAATTAAACCAATGGAAGTAATATAAAATCACAACCATTTATACATTAAGACCACCCTGGCATATTATACTGAAGACATGGGATTTTTGAAATGTTGGTCTCCGGTTTGCATCTCATGATTTACATTTATTTAGTTGGTGTGTACACTAACTACAAAGTGCTAAGCTTTAGTGCAATCAAAATCAACATCAAGCTGCGAAAAAACAACCTCTCAGGCAGCCTATGAGTTGCATTAAGAAACTGTAGTAGCTGCAGGGTTATTCTACTGAGTCCCAACTTACCTAAGGTACACTTACAACAGTAGAAATATTCAGCTTAAAAATATATATATATATTAAAGAATTACATACTGTACAGAGGTCTTTGTACTGTAACTTCTGAAACTTGGTGTCTGTGTTTCCTGCACACAGCTCCACATATCCAAGAACTACTTGAAACACAGTGTTGTGAATGGCTTGAGTGAAGTGCATGTGTAACTGGTCCATTGCTGTCTGAAAGAAAAGGAGTAACATGAAATCAAATAGCAAAATTCTATTTGTCATATGTCTTTTAATGCAAGTCCTTTTCAGTACTGAACACAGGAGATTGCAAGCATGGCTTCCAATCATGGTCTCAAAAATATCTAACATAGGATTTGGCAACACTACAATGTAGCGATGTAAGAGTTCAGTAAAATCGGTTTCCCCTGGCAACCTCCCTCTATAGCCCACCATTTTTTTTGACATTAACTGTAGTAGATACTAATTTTATGTGCATACAATATGTATAACTACAGAAATTACCCATTAATTCATTTACCCTCCTAGTCATTGATGAATGTGTCAAAAAGAAATTAGTCGAGATTAGTGCCGTTTTTTTCCACTGGAGACACTTCCAACTAAGATAAAAATATTTTCTTTACAATTAATAAAGTTAAACCCACAATTACAAAGTCTTCAATCCATTTACCAAACTGAGACCTTCCTTTAAGAATATAAAGTAGGACTAAATGTTACAGAAAGGCATGCACATCATATCAATACATTTCTTATGAAAACCCTCTTTGAAATAAATAAATAAAATTAAAAATTGTTTAACACTACTTACTTTTTCCAGAAAAAAACAGATGTCAGTATGTGTACTAAATGCTAGTGACTATGTAAGTTCTGCCATGTTTCAAACATGCCTGAGTTTCAAGTCAGGCTGTTTCCCGAGTTATCTTATTGATGCTTTCTTAATAAACTGTATATAATGTTAGTCCACTTCAGAAGCTGAATTTTCTCATTGTGTCAAGCTATGCTAATAATTGGTATGCATAGTATATAAGAATTGATTTAAAACTTATTTGATGTCAGAATGAAGTTAACAGATCGTGCAGATTTGAAAATACTCAGTTTCACTACTTGCTATTTGACATTCCTTGCTGCTGACAAGAGTAGAGAACTCAATAACCCCCCGTAAGCAATGAGCAATCCCTTCTGCTTCTACCCTACTGCAAATAACCAATCTTCTGCAGCTAGTCCTAACTTGAATTAGTCAAAGAAAACAAAGACAAATGAGAACATGAACGTACAGAAGACACTGAAGGTCCTTGTCATTTTGTTTAATTAAAAGGGTTAAAAATAGGTGACATTTCAATAATGATACCACTAAATTCTTTCCAGGACAAGTTCAAAATATATACTTTAATAGTAATAAAAAGAATGTCAAAAACAAGTCACTACCATGAAAACAGAGCATGCAAAACCATAAAGTAACAAATAACACTTTTGTTCAGAAACAGTGTTCCTCTGCAACAACAAAATCTGCCTTTCTCAACATACCATGCACTAGACTTCAGAGCACTGAATGCATTTTATTTACTTTTGTTCAGTAGATAAAGGTATTGCACACAATGCACCAACAAAGGAAAAGTCTAATTAACCTCCCCCGACTTTAAGGTGCAGTCTTTAGACACTCCAATAATTCTGCACATTCTCGAAGTATGAGAAGAGAAATCCATTGCTATCCTACCACAGAGCTACACTTGTTACCACAATCAAACTGCGAAAAAAAACCTAACTTGGCTAGAAAGGTTCTAATTAGAAAGAACAAAAATGAAACAAAAATTTTTAAAAAAAAAAAAAAATCAAAACAAGGCATTCTAATGTCCAACACACTTCTAAAAGCTGTGAAACAACATTAAAAAAACCCCAAGCATAATAAAGAACAAAGGGAGCTCTTGTCCTGTCTTCAGAGGACAGGCACTTGACATGACCTTTAGCAAATCAACGTTTCAGGAGGTGCCTCACAATGTTATGAATGCTGATCACTGACAAAAATCACATCCAGGACCTTCTTGTCTCCTTAGCCTCCTTTACTGGACAGGAGCTTAGTACGAGCTCCCACACTTCATGTCTGCTTCCAAAGGAAACAGGTTTGTTGTCCTCCCAGAGCAACCATCCTAACCTCAAGGCAGTGCACCAGCAGAAGTAACTACACCCTACCAGAGAGTTTAGACATACATACTCCTCTTCACATAAAAAAGGCTCAAGGCACACAGATGTAACGTTAAGAACATGTGCACAGTACAGGTTTAATACGCCTTGTTCATCTTTTGTTGCCAAAAAAAAAAAGTCTCCTCACATCTTCATTCCTGTCATATTCAAATACAATATAAAATGGGAATGTACACGTACAAGGTACAGATTGTGCAAAACTCAGAAACACGGAACTAGTTATAAAAAAAAATAAATAATTGTGCTCACATGCCCAAATACAATTTGTGCACTGGTTTTGGCTGGGACAGAGTTAATTTTCACCAGAGTGGCCAGTATGGGGCTATGAATCACACCTGCACTGAAAACAGTGCTGATAATACCAGGATGTTTCAGCTGTTGCTGGGCAGGGCTTACACAGTCAAGGCCTTTTCTGCTCCTCACACCACCCCAAAGGAAGGAGTCTGGGGGTGCACAAGACGTTGTGAGGGGACACAGCAGGGACAGCTGCCCCCAGCTGACCAAAGGGATATTCCAGACCATATGATGTCATGCTCAGCATATCCAGCTGGGGGAAGAAGGAGGAAGGGAGGGAGGGACGTTCAGAGCAGTGGTGTTTGTCTCCCCAAGTAACGGTTACACGTGACGGAGCCCTGCGCTCCTGGAGGTGGCTGAGCACCTGCCTGCCCATGGGAAGCGGTGAATGAGTTCCTTGTTTTGTTTTGCACATGAGGCTTTTGCTTTACCTGTTAAACTGCCATTTATCTCAACCCAGGAGATTTTTTTCACTTTTACCCTTCAGATTCTCTCCTTGATCCCAACAGTGGGGAGTAAGCAAGAGACTGCATGGGACTAGCTTGTGGGCTGGGCTTAAATCACAACAATTAGGAAAATACATTTCCATCACAGCACTCCAAGCTTCATGCTGCTACATGACTGTTCTTTACAACTTACTTAGAAGATGAGTACTAACCTGTGTTTTCCCAAGCAGCCTGTAAGCCTGCTGAAAAATCGTGTAATGGCCAACATCAAAGTTCTTGCATATTTTAGAGAGCGCTACGTCCAGTTGTTCCTATATAAATAGAAGGAAAAAAATGCATTAAAGACAAAATAAAACCAGGCCATATAATACATTACTTAATAACAAGTGAATAAAAGATGTTGATTTAAACAACCTAATGATTATGCTTGTAAAATAGCCAACACTGTGCAATACCAGACTATGCTGAGGTGCTCAAATATTACTTCTTGTAGCCAAAAGTAGCCTTTATGGCTAAATAAAAAATATTTATGGCTTTTTTAGAGATTTGGTGGGAGTTTTCTGTTGCTGTTGGGTTTGGGCACAGGGAGGTGTTTGATTTTGTTGAGTTTTTTTAAGCAGATCAATATTTCCTTTAAGCACAAAAAAGAATAGAATACAGTCACAAAGTACATTTTTTCCTGAGCGAAATGATATAAGGAAAAGCAACCTGAAGATTCAGAAATTCTTAGAAAGGTTGCTAGCAATTTGAATTTCAGCCATACAGATTTTTTAAAATATTTCTTTCCTTCTCTTATTTCATGTAGAATAGCTGTACAAAGATAGAAACAGGGATGATCAAACTGACCATGAAGAGCTCTTCAACACATAACACATTAATCTTTTCAGGTCCATTTTTAAATGGCTCCTGCCACTACAGTGATCTTGCATTTTATTTGTAACATAGCATAAAAGTAAGGTCAATGTTAAAACCTAAACTACAAGATTGAAAAAAAAAAAAACAAAACACCACACAACCACCTGTTGAGAAGACTCATTATTAAGATATTAATAAGGATAATATGACCCTACATAATTATGACATGTATTTCACAGGAATACTCTATGAACCCCAGGATGACTTATTCTTCTCCCATATGCATAGACATAATTCCAGTAAAAGTATCTTGTTTTCTACAAAAGCAAAATAAGATATTTCTACAAATGCACAAATACTAAGTAACAATCTTGAATATTACTACTTAGCTAGCTGTGAATATCTTTCACCAACCAACATGGCAGATTTTAGATTGACAACAGATTTTAGTATGAACAGAATTTGCTCTGCAAAGCTGTTACTGAAAGGAAGCAAAGATGCACATCTCTTTTTAAGCAACATCAGCGTTTGCTCACAAGGGGGTAAGTAAATGAAAGCAATAGGAAGCCAAACTGAGTGACCTTAAGGAAAAAAAAAAAAAAGAGACTAGTTTAATGACTGTCCTATATGAGAGTGAAAAGAACCATTTCCTTAGATTTTTTTGAACCAGCCATGCTCTGAACAGAGCATATATCAGTGAAAGAGTTAAAGAACAAAAAAAGCTTTGCAAGGAAGCAAAAGTACAAAGGAATAAATCAAGGAAATATAACTGAATTCTAATGCTACAGGAAATTGAATAACGAGTTCTGCTAATACATGCACTGATCTTATTTTCTAAAGAGCACGTGATCAGAGGCAGAGAGCTGCTGGGACAGCTAATTCAGTTTACTGCTGCGCGTTACCTGTGCAGGCGCTACAGGCACTACACACACATTACACATCTCTGCGTTACTAGACTACTTACAAAAAAGCTTGCACAGTTCCAGCTCAAAATTACCTAGTAATGGAGTTAAAAGAACTCCTATTGTTCCTGAACTCTTCTTTGCCATCAATTTCCAGCAAGATACTTGCCATTTCATATTAATTTCCTTTAGCAATACTACCTCCCAACTTAAATTGATCTGTCTTGGTCAGGTCTTTCCCATCTACGTAAGTCTCATTTCCTATGGCTCAGCACTGGCACTATCCAGCAGTTTCCAGTTTGCTGAAACTGGAAACTTCTAAAATTTCCAGTGAAAATGTGATCTGTTGTGTAGCTTACTCAAACCTATGGGCATGCTGCTAGTTCATTATTTCATGACTATTTAGGAGTAGTCTACAGAATGCACAGCAGCTCCTGTACTGAAAACCACCACGCGTTGCCACCACACAGGGGCCATACCTTTGCCCGCTTCAACTTCAAATGCTATGTGGCTATTTTATTTGACTGCTTTACTACTCTAAAGTGGGCACAATTAGTGAGCTGGGCTCCTTAGTCTGATAACTTATGACAGAGCACTTAGGTTGATTGCAACACAAGAGTCTACATGAATAGCAATGACTACAGCATTCCACAGACAGTACTTGAAAGAAATCTGCACAGCAGTCCTGTAATTGCTAATAGAATTGTGCTGGAAAGCTCTAGTACCTAGAGGTTAAATACTAATATATACTAAACATCAATATATTAATTCTTACCTCAATTTGCTCTAAGGTGTCTTGCAGCTTTGAATTCAATTCGCTATTAATGAAAGAAAAAAAAAAATGTTTAAAGTAAAACTACTAATCATATTAACATCTCACACCAAGTTTCTTGCTTCTGTAAAGCACATTCTCCTGTTACTAAGCCACAAGACAGTAATTTATCATGAATCATGAACCTGCTGTTACAGTGTCAGAATAGCATCATCACACTACTGTTATTACTGAAAGGCACATACTGTAGGCATTTGCAGTATTCCTAATACTTCAAATTAAACTCTCTTTGCAGCAGCACATTATTCTAGGTTAATAAAGCAGCAGCGGTAAGAGGGCCTAGACAAGACCTCAACCTGCTGAGATTTAGCCAAGCATTCAAAGGTATTCCCAACATCCAAGAAACATTAAATGTGTGCTCCAAATGTTTTGTTTTGGCATTGTGGTCTATAGCAGAACACACCCAGAGAGATCAGTGTCTTTGAAGACTATGGTACAGTAACTTTTATTTGTTGCTCAGGAACCCCTCACAGAAACACTATTAAAAAAAAAAAAAAAAAAAACAAACCACACCCACTTTGGTTCATACAACACTCGGGAAACTTTTTAAGCTCATCATTTCACTTATGTGAGCTATATTTGGTATAGAAAGATTAACAAAAATGGCTACTGTGAGAGAAACAGATTTAAAAATTTCAGAACGCCTGGCAGAAAAGTAAGACACAAAATATGACTACTATGTTTTTGTTTGGAAGTGTCAGAGCAACCAAGAAATGAGCAGCTTATTCTGTTTAAGCATAGAAAGCACAGAGCTTTCACAGGATAACTGCCACATGTGATTTTAGTCAACTTACTTCCGAGTTCCAAATTTTCTCCTAAGAGGCCTGTGTTAACTACTGAACGACACATTCTAGCTTTCCTACCTAGTTCTCTCCATTTAAATGATGCATCCATCATGTTTCCTTTTTTGGTTCTGTTAGATTACCTGAATAAAACGCCCTCCAAAGAAAGATTTAAATAAAAAAAAAAAACTGCACCAGAAAGAGCTGGCATTTAACAAGTCAAATACCGTGCTTTTTAGGAGTTACATTCAATTCTTACCACCACCTAGGAAGAAAAATGGGAAGAATGACTGCACAAAGGCAGGCACCGATTCATGTTATGTGGGCACAGGATAGTCAAAGGGATACTGTGAAAACGTGATAGCATGATGCAGAGGTGACACCTCGTCTAAGGACATTACAAGTGCTAGAACACCTGTTTTCTTGACTAGCTATTTTTACTGCAGTTCTAAACAGAAATGCAAAAGATTTATTTATTCATTCAGCCCAGTCCCCTGCTAGTGAGACATTATTCCATACAATACATACTCTCTCAGACTTCTGCAAGGACAATTGCACACAGAGGCAGACATGTAAGCACCGAGTCTGTGATCTGCAGCTGAATTGTGCTGCTCTCACAATGCAAACACACACAAGCTCAAAAAACTCCCTCAGAATATAGAAGCGGTGCCAATTTTTTCTGTCAACATCCTTTCTTTCAAGAAACTGTCTTCTGGGATGCAAGGATATCCTTTTGAGTGCAGCAACAAAGTAAATCCTCACAGCTATTTGTCATGTATCTTGACACTGTGCCGTGTGTAACTTCTGCAGTTAAACATTCCAAATGGCAAAAACATGAACTGTTTGAGTTCCAAATTTTGTTATAGTGCACTTAGTGGAGATAAAGTTTGAAGCTGCAACAAAAGCTTGAAGAGATTCAACATTAAACAGAAACTTTTGTATCATTTACACAAAACAGACTTTAAGTTAAAGAAACTGTGTAATTTAACCTAAATCTCAAAAAAGCAAGGTTTTCCAGATGAGCACTGTAAGATTTTAAGAAATGAAGCTGCCTTTTCAAGCTGAATAAATGTTGCTAATTTCTCCAAAAGAAAAAAATGCAGAAGATATGGAGACTAAATTAGACCAAAGTTTGGAGGTACAGAGTATCTGAAAGAGCAATAAATACTGAAGAGAACTCACTGAAGAGTATATACAAGACATGGGTACAGAAGACTGCAAGACCCACCTCTCTACAGAAAGTAGAGTTAAGAAGAGCAAAAGGTGTTCAGGGGTCAGTCTCTCAGACTGAGAGAAATCAGACATTTTTCCCAATTCAAATAAATAAATTATAGTTTTCATTCACAACTATGTAAGGAAAGGATTCAATCTATGTAGGCAAATGTTGGCTTTATAGACAATTTATATCCACACAAGGTGGATATGTTGGATATGAGGAGTAATTTCTTCACTGAAAAGGTTGTCAAGCACTGGAAGAGGCTGCCCAGGGAAGTGTGGAATCACCATCCCTGGACGTATTTGAAAGTCATGTAG